ATAAGGGTTCTTTACGACAAGGGTTCTTTAACTTTACATGGCTCTTTAGGAGTCCGACGGACTCTGGGCAGCTGTGGACCCCTCTCCAGCCTGCGTGCACGTGGATCTGCTGTTTGCTACCAAATGTGTTCTTGCTCTCTGCGTCTGAACTAGAACAGTTTGGTGGACTGAGGTGAGGAACGGGACTGGACGCACCTGTTCAGGTGAGCTCAAGTAGAAACACATGTGTCTAGACGTTGCAGAACATGACTCACTAAAAACAGACAAAGCAACAACGTCTGCAGCTACGATGTGCTGAGTCCTGTGCTTTAACGTGCACGATGATGGATCCACACACACCCTCCCTCACTGAGGTCTAACAGGACCGTTTGGATCGAGGTCACTTCCAAAAACCTCTGACATGATCTGATTCAAGATTATGGATGTTTTTATTATTATGACTGAGAACAAGATGAACCATCTCCCAAGACACGACCTTGTCTGCGCCCATGAACCATATGTTTGTGCTGTGTAAGAGGCTGCAGCTTGGAGGACACCTGAACTCTGAGCTGAGGGGACGATAAAAGTGAGCAGGTAACGCAGCTCAGAGCTTTTCTCTGTCACTGGTTTTAACATTTTACCACCTTGTTGTTCAAAAACAAACTTACTGATGTTTATTACTCATCCAAACAACCGGTGTGTGTGTGTGTGTGTGTGTGTGTGAGACACTGACCACGATCTGGTCCACGGAGGCGTATGTAACCTTGCTGTCATCGAAGTAATACCACTGACCGTTGTCCTTGTTCTGAGCGTAGCTGGTGTCTGCAGAAACAAACATCAGTGAGGGTCAAAGGTCACAAATCGTGGGGAGGGGCGGGGCTTACAGTGTCCGTCTCTGAGTCCTCCGTAGTGATTGGACACAGCGATGAGGTTGTAGCAACTCAGCGGCTCCTCTGTGGACAGCTTCCTCCTCAAGAGAAACGAGGAGAAGTCCAGATCCCTGAAACACAGACGCTGTCAGAGCTGTGTGTGTGTGTGTGTGTGTGTGTGTGTGCGTGTGCGCGTGAGTGTGAGTGCGTGTGTGTGTGTACCTGAGGGGGAAGTCCACGATTGTGTCGAGTTTCTCTCTGGTGAACTTGGTGTAGGAGAACCTCTTCAGATGGATGATGAGAACCTCCGGCAGAGACCAGAGATCCAACTTCTTAGTGGCCAACTGGTGCTTCTTACACACCGGACAGTACCTGAACAACAAACAAACAAACAAACAAACAAACAGATAATTCAACTTTTATTTATACAGGTTCGTCTCGTTGAGTCTTGAGGACTCATTTACCAGAGAGACCTGATTTAACAAAGATGAAGACAACAGTGGACAATCATAAAAGAAAATATAAAGTAAAAAATAAATGAAAGAAAATGGTATTAACAAAACAAACGCAGCTACATTAAAAAGCCACGTAGAAAACTAAAAACAGGAATGTGTGCGTTGGTTTTTGTCAGGAACTTGGCAGATGTTTGAAGACACTCGGAGAACTTTTATATTTTTTATATATTACTTTTTATAGTAATTTTATATGAAGAACGACATCAAAGTGAATAAAGGAACTCCTTTGTTCTTCTGTTTCCTTCAGAATGAGCTTCATTCCTCCTGCAGGTGTAGCAACCTTCTTCCTGGTTGCTCTGCTGTCATGTGATTCTGGTACAACTTCCTGTCAGACAGGAAGTAGCAGTCAGCACTGGTTAACCATGGTAGAGGAGCACAGGCCGGCGTTTATTTGAAAGTAATTTTCATTTGGTTAGTTCAGATAAATCCTGTTTTTGTTTTGTTCACATTTATTTAACAACCATAAAGTTGACTAAAATAGCCGTGGTGCGTTCGGGTACCTGTTGTGTTCACGGCTGCAGAACAACCAGACCAAACTAAATCAGTGGCTACAACAACAGTATACATAGCTAAATATGCTAGTAAATGTAGCTAAATATGCTAGTAGATGTAGCTAAATATGCTAGTAAATGTAGCTAAATATGCTAGTA